ATTTACAGTGGGTTTGGCTTTTTTTTTTTTTTACAGGGTGTGAATCTCAAAGTAAAAAAATTACATAGTGGAGAGTGTTAGTATTTTGTAATGTAACTCACTCTGTAATCATACAGAAATGGTATTAGAGAAAGGAATTCAGGTCTTCTGTTCATAGGGTCACTATGAGTCAGATTCGACTTGACACTTAACCACTGAGTGAGACCAGTGTTGTTGTATTTGAAGGAATGTTCTTCTATTTTGCACATCACTCTTTGTCAGCTTGCCGTACTGAGGTAATCTGGGTTTGCTGTGATGCTGAATATAGTGCCACTGGGGTATCAAATACCATAATGGTCTCCCAATGCGGACAATGTTTGGTGGAACTCCAAGCTGTAAGATGGGTTTGGAAGCAGGAGTGGCACCCACTTCCTAAACCACATGCCTCTGGAAACTCCATGAACTTGGAGAAATGATGATAGATATGGAAAGGCATTAGGTCTTTTGTTCAGAGTTGCTATGGTTCGTACTTAGTTGCTAACAACTCACACAACATTAAAAACACTTGTAAAGACAGCAGTGCCTATTTTGCAACAAGTGTCACTTCTAGAAAGAAACCAAAGTGTTCAATGTTACTGGAGGAAGAAGGCTGCAATTGCCCCAGGGCTGATCACTCCTTGAAGAAACCTGATGAGGTCTAAGGGATCAGACCAAAGCTCAATCCTCTTAAGGCTCTGGGCCTGATCACAAAAGCCTGCATCCAAGTTAATTAATAGGACCACCCACTCCAAATTCTGAGCAAAGTATCACCTTCCGTAGTCCTAACACCCCTTAAAAAACGAAACTGTCCTTGACTGCCCTGGCATGATTTTGACCTTCTCCACACATTGTCACTTGGCGTCCCTCTCAGAACACACAATAAAGGCCTGTTCGTTTCTTGGGATCAGCTTCTTTCTTGCTTGCTCTCAATTGTTCTTTTTATGTCACAAGTTATTTTTCCTGTTTTTAATGAACCAAGAAAATATTCTTTCAACAGTTATCTTCATTTTACTCAGGTTTGGGGCAAAGCCACATTTCCAGATTTGTAAAGAAGACATAACCTTTAAGCTGTCTTCAGGCCCTTTATAGTGTAGAGGTCAGAATGAGAATGATGATTTCAGTCTTGCTTTCAACGTATGTTGCTGCTGTTGTTGTTGTTAGGTGCAGTCAAGTCCAGTACGACTCACAGTGACCCTACGAATTAAAAGATCTAAACTCT